AGAGAGAGCGCGTAGGGGCAATGATCGGGAGGTGAGGGTCCGACCGGCAGTATGACTGTGCCACTCAGTCTGTCAGCGTCGAGCTAACCTTTTTTTTCCGAGCCGTTCAAAGTTTTCCCGGTGCGAAGTGCGGAGCTGAGCATTGCGAACTTGAGTGCGTGGGTGTGCTAGCAGCAGCAATAGCAGCAGCAGCAGCGGTAGCAGCAGTAATAGCGACAGCAGCAACAACAACAGCGGCAACAGTAATTGAGGCGGTGTAGCGAGCAGCGAAGCGGCGTTCCAGCAATTTGTCGTTCAAATACGGTTGGCCACCGTATCCTCATCGTCCTTGCGGTAGGTGCACCTTCCCCCTTTCAATTATTGTTATAGCGAGCTATCCCGCGCAGCGTGCGCGAGGTAATTAATTGTTGCGCGCGAGCGGTTAGTTCGCGGTAATCGTGGTTTTTTTCTCTCTCTCTCATTTAGCGTGTGTTATCATTCGCGCAAGCGTGCGCAAGTCTCTCGGCAAAACCCCCGTGTATTTGATTTTGTTGAATAAATCAGTTAACCGTCATCTTTAAATCAAGTAGTCGTTATTGTGTCATTCCTTTGTCCGGAGGTCGCGCCGATATTTGTTTACAGTCGATTCGAATTCGCCGGTAGCGTAGCACGAATCACGTGAATATCGGTAGGCGGGAATCGTCAACTAAGGTTCCAGCGGCGGCCGCACGAGCGCTACTAGTAAGGGGCGACAGCGCCGCTAAGCGGTGAGTTGGGGGAACCCAACTCGGAAAAGTGAAGGACCCTGCGCAGGCGCACTCCGAGACAAGGTAGGTTGCTGTGCTTTGAGCACAGAGATAACTAGGCGTCGTCTAGTCTTAATAAAGGTACGTTTAAGAGATTACAGACTAAACGGCAGCCTGTTACAAATAATAATATAATAATTAATAATAATTAATAATACATTAAGAATATTAATAATATTAATATATATATATAATATAATAATAATATATATATAAGAACATTTTTTATTATTCTAGAATAAAGCTTATACACGGAACTTAAGGAGTATATTAATAAATATCTCTACCACTTACACTCCGATACGTTACGAGAATACTCTAAATCATTGAGAGTATATTAATAAATACTTTCAGTAATTTGGGTGTATATATCACACCTTGGGAGTTCACTTCTAACCATTTTGGGTGTTATTAACGAATACTCTCAACTACTTAGGTATATACACTAAACCTTGAGAGTATACTTTTAATTAAGAGTATACACTAAATCATTTTGATGTTCACTCTCAATCTTCAGAGTATACACTCGATTTTCAGAGTTGACACTAGATTATTTGGGAGTTTACTCTTAACTTTGAGAGTTTGCTCTTAATTTTTGGAGTAAACATTGAAAATTTGGAGTATATACCCAACCCAATCCTTGGAGAGGGGGTAGCGTCTCAAGCTTGTTAGGCGCGTACGCCGTATAGTGAGGATGTTGCTCTCTCCCTCTCTCTCTCTCCCTCTCTCTTTATTTAGGCCCCGGTCCCATAGCTACGTATGAATGCGGACGGATTTGGACGCGAATCGCAACTCTAGTAAAATTACTAAAAATATCTTGTTCGATTATTTAGTACCAACACTACCGGTAGTGAGCAAAAGTAACTGTTGTTTAAAACTGTAGCGCCGAACGTACCACATTTAATGAACGCTTATCTAACCTATAACGTTTGTTTATATTCCGTCAATGAACCGTGCCACAGGCTAAACTTGTATCACTTTTGAGTAAGTAATGCAAAAGTCATGTTAATATTTAATCCTTAGTTGTGAAATTATTTGATGATGACAAATATTTGAAAGTGAAATAAATCAATGCTATAATTTTGCAGTTGATATAATTGTGAGAAATGAATATTATTGAAAAGATCATTATGGAAACGTACGCTGGAAATACATTTATGTTTGACCCTGAAGATGAGAAATACTATTTCGAAGATCAGAAACGTGCTGTTTTGAAGAAAATTCAGAAACGTATAAAAACAGAACAAGCTGTTCAAATGTCTGGTATACAATTTACTTTTCAAATTCGCATGAATATTGATTATCGATGAGTATGCTAATGTAAAAAAACTTTTTGGGATGATTAATACATATCATTTATATTGTATTCTTTAGTGGAACAGATTAAATTTAAATATAGATATATCAGAGATATTTTTGTAAAAGCAGATAATTTGGTTGAAGCCAAGAAGAATTTAACCTTTTTGCAGAAATGTATTTATCAAAGGATGTTTTATTTGAAACCTTTTATTAAGAAAAAAGATCACAAAAGCAAAGCTGGAAAATATCAAATTATGTCAAGCATTAAAAGTAAAGAAACTGCGTCTATTGCCTTTACCAATGAGGTAAAGAACTTTCTTGAAAATACAAAAAGAAATACTCTGAATGAGTTGATAATTATTTTGAATGAGAAAATTAAAAACTATAAAGATTTTGGAACACAGAGACTTGTGCTTTGGAAAATATTTAGAATAATCAGTGATTACAATGGAACAATCAAATTTACAAGAAAATACATTTTATGACATACTCATTAATTTTTATATAAATAATCCTGCTTTATATGAAAAAATGGAAGATGGATATTCCATTACAGTAGAAAAATTAGACAAACTGTCTATTTTGTCCAACTATTTGAAAGAATTAAATATTAACAAAACAGGTTATAATTTTATTTTTTATATACAGTATTTACATTAAGTTTAGTGATTTTTATGTTAATTATATTTTTATAATCAATTAATTTGTATTTTTACAGTTGCTGACATCGTTAGATCATGGAAAGATTTGGTAAAAAAGTTTAAGCAACAATTAGCTTTTGAAAATTCTGCCAAGTCTGGTTTTGCAGCACATAGTACAAACACTTTTCCATATTTTGAAAGCTTATCCTTTTTACTATCAGGCGTAAAAAATAAGAAATCATTATCGTCTATGGAACTAGCTTTAAGAACACCTGGAGAGTATAGTAAGTGTTAGGTTATGGCAGATTTTCCCAATATTTATACTATTTAATTCATACAATTTAATACATTTTAACTATAAACTACCCCTTTATTTTTAGGTCAGTCCTTAGGATTGTCAAAAAATTTAAACAATGCATTTTTCAATTCCGATTCTACAGTTGATTCATCTCCGTCCAACAAACGCAGGTTATTAAACGTACCTGACTCTGATGGATTTGCTAAGAAAAAAATGAAAAGTATTACTGAAGAAGATAAAAATATGAAGATTATAGGGCAAAAAATTATGCAAACTTTAGACAATATTAACTGTGACGGTAAACGTCAAATTAGCGCTGATAATCTAATTTAACTGCTGCCTGTGAGGGCAGCACCTGCCGGGGGGACGAAATAGGTAACGAAGGAATTCGGCACGCGAGCAGACGGAACGCGCGCGATAGAATTCGAACCAGTGAAGCATTGACCATTGTTGTGTCCGCCCGCTTTTCGCTATCGCCACCGCCGATTCACGTGCCCTTGACAACTACAACGCATCAAAACAGCAGCAGCCAGTTATCCAGGATTGTAGCCGCCAAGGTGCCATCCAGCTACCAGTTTGAGGCCAGGACGAGTGTGTGTGTGTGAGGTTTCGCCATCGAGGGCGAAACCATAACGTGCGCGAACTCGCGACTTGCGAAATAGACTATAGAAACTGTTCCGCTCTGTGCGAGTTATTTGTGTTTTCTCCGATCGCCTGCAAATATAAGGTAAGCTGGCCAGCTTAATTCCGCGATCGCGATTGCATGATCGATAACTAATTTCCGATATCCGAAGCGTGCGTGTAACGGCTCTAACAACAAAGAGCAGCGAGCGTCCCGGCAATACGTGTTGCCGACGAGCGAGCGTCAATGTAAACAAACGCGCGAGCCGACCTTCTGTAGATTATGAGGAATAATAAAAGGTCTAGTCCGTATTACTAAAAAGTGTTTTTCGATTCACTTATACCTCATAGCTTCCACTCACTTTCCTTAGATAAGAGGACTTACTGGTTGACTGACGCACGTTTCGACATGCTCCCCGATTTACGTACTGAGCATAATTAACTACGCACGTCCTTTTAGTGTAATTGCGCGAATAAAATAATCAAACGGTCTTACCCCGTTACATAACAAAAAAGTAGCAGAAAATGAAAAAAATGAAGAGATGATACCTAACCAAGTGTATTCAAACGAGTCACCAAAATGAGATTATAAAATGATTTTTCTTGATGCTGTTAATAAAATTCCAGCTGGGTGCGAAAACAAGGTTTTGGAGATCATAATTGAGGAACTAGAAAAATTTGACAAAGAAATAAAAGAAAATTGATTAAGTTATTTAAGTTATTAAGTTATTGTAACAATTTTTGTATGCTACCGAACTGCTCAATAAATATGAATTTTTGGTAAAAAGAATTCAATAATTGTTTTCTCGTTGATAAATTCATTTTCATCTTTATAATGTAATGTAATCACAAAATTTATATTTTTTCCCACTGCCATGTGCTTGACTTTTTTTATAAAGAATCAACTATTTCTAATTGTAATAGGCTATAAATCTTATTTTTAACAATGTTATTCAAAAATAGCCTCTATGTTTTTTTATTTAATATGGTAAAAAGAATATAATGATTATTTCTCGTTGATAATAAAATATATTTTTCATCTTTATATGTGATCACAAAATTTACATTTTTTCCCACTGCCATGGGACAGAACCTTGAGGTGAAACGAAGTATATACACAATTGTTCACGTAGCCTAAAATGTTGTATTATATTTTCTACATCTTGAGGTTCGTTTGGCAGCACTTGTTGATTGTTGATATTATTTCATCTATTGCCTACTTCGTTATATTTGAAATCCAGTAACATATTATGCAGGCATACTGTACTCATAATAATTTTTTCTGTCGTTGAAAGTTTTCAATCCAAAGATGATTGGTGAATTAACCAAACCGATGCCAATTCACCAAAAGCGCTTTCAATTATTCTCCGAGCAAAACTCATCCTGTAATTAAAGAACCTTTCTAACACGGTTAAATGGTTATTTCTAACGAATGGTTTCATTAAATATGTTTTTAATGGAAATATCCCATCTCCCATGAAATGAAAAGGAAAGACTATTTGTGAATTTGGTAACTGTGTAGAACGTGGTAATTGAATTTCATTTTGTAGAAGGGCATGTTCAAGATCACTATGGGCAAAAATACTGGCATCGTTCAAAGAACCTGTAAAATTGCTAAGATGTAATTCTTACAATGAAAACTTAATATTCTTTTTTTCATTATTTAGGTATATTTTGATGATCATCATACCATAATCTTCAATATTAGCCCATATGAAGCGTTTTTTTGAATCACAGCAAGCCATGCTGAAGAACACTATGCTGAAGAATTTTTTGTAATTGTAAAATAGACTCCCACTATTGGGTAGCTTTTTTATCTTACAATATTTACCATCCAAAGCTCCAATACAATTGGGATAAAAAAGATCTGACATAAACTCATTTGCTATTACATGGAATTGTTGAAATGAAGGAAATTTGAGAAATATTGGTGCCAAAGTTTCACATATAACAGTACATACTTCAGGTATCACTTTTTTTATAGTAGTTTCTCCAATATTATAAAACCACTTATTTTTCTTAATACTATCAGCATGTGCTAAATAACTGAAACAGAAATGATCACATTTCATATACGCATTTATAAAAGGAACTATATATTTTGGCAACTCATAAGTATGTGAGTATTTTAATTTTAAATGTTAATACATTAATATTCATACTTACTTTAATGTTAAACTCAATCTTAATTCACTTGGTAAAGGTGGCCTCCTACTCCTTTTAATCAAACTAACACGAAGCAGTTGATATAAGTACTCAAAAATGTATACAGGTATTCTTGTGAAATTAATAAATTCTTCTTCATCATTGAGTTTGAAATATTTAAACACCCTTTGGTAACCATTATATCCTGTCAAATAATTACGCCTGATATGAGGTTTACTCCACCATCGTCGGAATAGTTTTCTTCTTCTAATATATTGAAGTACTTCCATAAAATTAAGGCCTAATTCCACTAATTGCAGTTACAAGTCTATCAATTCTCTATTATTTGCCATCTTATAGACTGCAATAATGTATAGGTTAGATAGGCGTTCATTAAATGTGGTACGTTCGGCGTTACAGTTTTAAACAACAGTCATTTTTGCTCACTACCGGTAGTGTTGGTACTAAATAATCAAACTAGATATTTTTAGTGATGTTACTAGAGTTGCGACTCGCGTCTGTACCCGTCCGCATTCAGACGTAGCTATGGGACCGGGATCTTAAGCATGCGCTATAGTAGTTTTATTCGATTTGGGGAACCTTTGGACCCCATAGTTTATTTCATTCAAATATTAATTAATAAAACTTATAAAATTTCCGTTTAATTATTAATTTATTTTTCAACTATACATTAAATATAATCTTTATTTTCAGAAGTCGACAGCTATTTCGAAATATTTAGATGAATTTTTATATGTAATACTGTCAATTTCATCGATACCTTCAAGTTCAGATTGCTTCTGTCTATCTTTAATTCATATAAATAATTTTTGTACATTCGTAACGGCACATACAAAGTTAGCTCAATTATTGTAATGATATATACGAGTACATAACGTTCCTAATGCGAAAGGTAATATGTTCAATGGCGGACATCTCATGTCGCTTTCATGATCCAAAATTTTTCTATAAAAGGAAAAAACAAAAAAATAGTTTCTAATTAATAATGATTTTAATTTCTAACAAAAGATAATTTTTATAATTGCTTTTCGGATTATATTTTTTGTAACCATTGTTTCTTTTTCAATCCTTTTACATAAGTATTTCTAGAATTATATTAATTATTATTTAGTACACGTTGTAAATTTTTATATGGTATAATGCCAGATTTCCATAATAAACCATGATGAAACATTTCTAAGAATTTATTTAATTTACGACACGTGATAGGAAGTTGAAACCAATAATATGGTGATTCAGTTGGAACAGTATCAATATCAGACCGTTTTTTGGTTTAATTACGAGGACGTTTTCTCGGTTTGGTTTTCTTTTTCTTGGTTTTCTTTTTCTTTTTGTTGAGAGTAATTCAAACCAGCTTTTATTAAACAAAGGAAGAGAGAAAAGAATACAAATGGATAGTGGCGCAGTCAAAAAAAATGAAAAAAAAAGCATACGAGAGGGAATGTTCACATGAATATCTGAATTGAGCTTTTATCTTGTCGATCCGTGTTGATGAAGGTGAAGAGAGGGTGACGTCACAGTTTTGCAACCATTATCTCTAAATGTTTTTGTCGTCAGCCTTAAGCTGATAATGTATTTCGAGAACAAGTCAAATCCTGCAGTTGGTTAACTCACAACATGATTGTTTGTGATACTTGTTGTCTATTTATTGAACAAGTTTAAACTAGCAGCAAATTGAGTGTTGACGTCACACAATCCCCCTAAGACACTAGTAATGGTCGAATGGAGGCGACACTTTTAGAGCCAATTTTGCCTCCTTCCAATGGGACTTAAGAAGGATCAGAGAGCGCTCTTATGCCTCAACCCTCTGTCTAAAAGTAGGTGCATCGTCGTCAGTTACTTATTTTCACTCTAACAGTGGTTTAGAGTAGACTGAACTCTCCAGACCATCCAGTCATGGCATCATCCAGACTCGTTTCTACCGGAAATCCACTATTAGGCAATCATTAGAAGTGAGAGATTGAGAGAGAGGACTGGGCGATACATAATCCAGGGTGTTCTTCGGGAATCAAAACATTCGAAGTAATTGTTCCCGGTTTACTCATCTGCCTTCTACCAACATCGCTGCTACTCTACCTATACTACATATTTAATTTATATTTTTTATTATAATTTATAATAAATAAATATACATAAATAATACAATAAACGAATCTTTGATTTGATAAAATTGTGGTATGTTACAGAGCACTGAAAAGTAGGGAATACGTATCTTTAATCAGCTAATATTCAATCAATTTTCAATAACTTTTATGAACTTTACAATTAGTTTTATTCATTCCTTAAATGGTGAACAATAATAATAGTCTTCAAAAAAGTGTTTGAAGCATAATGATTTTTTACACGAAGCACAGCGAACTATTGCAATATTACTGCAGCCTTCAATCTCGTAATGCGTTTTTCAAGAATCGCCAAAGCTGAAGTCGACAGGGTTTTCAAATTTTCCAGGGTTTACATCAAGGTAACCACTTTTGTACCAAGAATATTTAATAAGATTTTTATATCTTGGGGACGAAAATTGGTTGTGGGCTAGAGATTGCAGTTTAATAATATTATTAAGTTTATACAATTGCATATCATAATCCATTAAAATTACTTTGTCTGAAAAATGGCTAACATAATTTTTCCAACTGCGAAAGCCAAATAGGTCTAAAGGTTGAATTTTTCCTGTAGTTCCTATAGGAATTTTTTTATATTTACTTCTTTATTAACAGGTGTAACTTCGTCTACTATTTTAGGACAATGCCCACTCCAAGAATCTATTAATAATATACATTTAGGACCAACTTCCTGAAAATATATTTTTTGTAACCAAATTTTAAAATAATCAGAAAAAAATTATGTTTTTTAATGTTGTTGTATAGTTTGCGGGTATTCTCGTAAAAATTTTACTTTCGGTAAATAAATATTGAAAAATACGTGAAGTCAGTTTTCCAGATTTTGATGCTTCAACATGTTCATTTATAGGTCGAAATAAATTAGATTCAACAACGTCGCAACTGCCTTATAGAACTTACTTTCTTAAACTTTTGTTACACTGATTCAAGACTCAAATTTTTTGTTTGTTTACTGCTTCTCCAGTATTCCACTGCTTTTAATTTATAATCATATGATATATCTTCTTCATCTTTAGTACATTAATTTGTTGGTGAAAAAGGAGAATCTGGAAAGTGATGCAAGATTTCATCTTCAACAATTTCAGCTTCCATATCTTTAAATGGGTCTCGAAAATCTAACGTTTCATCTGTTATTATTTCCAATTCATTACAATCATTCATTGCATCTAATAAAATCGTTTCAATTTTATTTGCGACCTCAATTTCTTTAAAGTTAACTTGACTTTCGGGAATATTTAAAGATTGAAAAGCCGTAAGAACAACATTGATCACGCTTATTGGATTTATTTTCATATTGAATCCTATAAAATTAATTAGTTACTTCTAATAAAATTAAAATTAAAGTCTATTTTTAAATAAGTAACTATAAGTATTCAAATATTATGTATATAATCAAATAAAAATTACATCTAAGAAAAAAAAATTTGTAATTAAATTATCGAATTTATATGTATTGTAACGGGGTGAATGCTTCGCCTTGTTATTTCAATTATTTATTCGCGCGATTGCATCGAAGAGAGCGCGGTGCTATCGAAACGTTCAAATTCGTTAGTTGGAGAGCAGGAAGGGACGGGAGTCAGTCAACCAACTTGCTACTAGTGAGAAATAATAACAGCGAAATTATAATCAGTATCACATGCGAGTTAGCTTATTTCCCTATTCTCTACAGTATACTTGGCCCGCGTATTTATGTTTACAAAGCGCGCTCGTCAATAACATGCTGCGTCGGAGCGATCGCAGCTTTTTGTTCGCCGGGTTAGCACATGCACGCTACCGATTCTTACAAAGTACGAGGGGTTAGCAACTATTTTCGCGCAGTCATGAGATTAATAAAACAAAGTCGCGATATAAAGCTGACCAACTTACCTTTGTATCGATTGTACTACTCGCAAGGGAAAAGGAGACAAGTTCGTTATCGTCAGTCCTTCAGAGGAGCAGTCCGCTCTCGGTTTCGCCCTCGATGGCAAAACTCTCCACTCACGCTCACTCACGCATACTCGGAAAATCGGCTGGCTCACTTCTTATTCCTCGAGGAAACTTTGGCGGCAAAATCTGGCTTATTGCTCAGCGGCTGGATGCTCGGATAACTTATCCTCGACTGGTTCATTTATATTCGCGCGCGTTCCGTCGCGTCTCGTACCGAGTTCTCTTATTCCATTTTCCCCAACCAGTAGGTGCTACCCTCGCAGGCAGCCGCATGGTTGAGGCGATAGCGCTAATAAGACGTTTACCGTCACAGTATATTTATTAGACTTACCTTTATAGTAATAATAAAATTTAAATTTATATACCACAATTATCTTCTAATAACAACACAAAATAAGTTTTTCAAAAAATGTATTTAAAAGAAATATTAAAAATGATTAAAACATTTACATCTAGAAAGCACAAAAATTAGACTGAACTTTTTAAAACGTATAAAATATTAAAAATATCATCGAAGTAATTTATTTGATAATATTATATGACGAAGCGATAAGCATAAAAAATTAAACGGAGAGAAAGATAAGATAAACTTTATGTACATACTGACTACATTATCAATTCTTAAGATAAGATACGATGGTAAAAATAGTCTGAATCAATATATTATGGTTTTTTTGCAATGTAAACCTTTTTCAAACTATTGCGGAATCCTTTCTGCGGATTCCTCTTACTAGTCTTGCTGACTGAGGGGTTATGTAGGATCCCCGAAAAAAAAACAGGCCTACCCACTAAACCGCCATCTTCTTGGTGTCCTTCCCCTAGCCAGCGACTGTATTAATATTACTTCTGACTGGAGGTTCTGTCTGTGTTCGTCCGTTCGTGTCGTTCCTCCGTATCTCGTTACGTCGTGTCATTTCGTCTGCTCAGTCGTCTGTCAGGCAGTCATCCGCGTTCTTACATCTCAGTATAGTTTCCGTCTAGATATCGACTAAGCACCACCATTCGGTTTCACGCAGCATCACGGCCACAATGTTATCAAGGGTGATGCTGCCGACCGTTCCTTCCAGTTCCTGTCTGAGTCTTGTCCAGCGGTCACACGCGAAAAACGTGTGTTCCGTGTCGTCTCGTTCGTGTCCACAGTACTTACAGTCGGGTGTTCGTATTCTGTTCATATTGTAAAGATACCGTCGGAAGTACCCGTGGCCCGTCAAAAGGTGGGTGACGTAGAAATTTACATCACCAAATTTTCT